GTCGGACGGGGCCCGATGCAGTAGTATGTATGCTTGATGTCTTCGTGATTCATGCATGTTTGTGATATGTGTTATATGATCTGGACTTCGGTCCGATGTCGTGCAAGCCCGATGCAGTATGTGATTATGCTATATGTCCATGTTGTGTTATGTTCAGTTTATTCCGGACTTCGGTCTGATGCCAGGCGGGGCCCGATGCAGTGGGCGGGGCCCCAGTTATTCCGGACTTCGGTACGATGCCGGGAGGGGCCTGATGTAGTGGGCGGGGCCCAGATTATGCTGGACTTCGGTCCGATGCCGGGCGGGGCCCGATGCAGTGGGCAAGGCCCAGTATGTGTTATTTGTGTTGTTGTATGGTATGTGGTAGTTTGGGGGAGCTCACTAAGCTTTGTGCTTACAGTTTTCAGTTTTGGTTACAGGTACTTCCACTAGCAAAGGGAAGGGCTCGGGTTGATCGCATGGCACACACCACAGCCACAGCCTGGGAGTTTCACTATGATAATTTGATATGAGATTTTGATTTAAGACAGATACTATGATGTTTTATGATACATGATTATGATTTTACTGATGATTTTGGATGGTTGATGGTTTTAATAATGTTTTAAAAACGAAATTTTTGGGTTGTATTTTTGGGATGTTTCAGTTTCGTTTGAATATTGTTGACAAATTATTACCTGTTCAAAATTTTGCATTTTTATCTTCTGCTTCTTATGTTGATAAATCTATGCTTTGGCATGTAAGATTAGGTCATGTCAACTTTAGAAGGATGCATGAGATGTCAAAAGATGGAATAATTCCATCCTTTGATATGACTTCTGATAAATGTAAAACATGCATGCTTCAAAAAGTGACAAAACAGCCCTTTCCTAGTGTCACTAGAAATTCAGCTGTTTTGGAACTCGTACACAGTGACCTGTGTGATTTTCACTCCACTCCTTCTTTGGGAAATAAAAAGTATGTAGTCACATTTCTTGATGATTGCACTTGGTTTTGCTATGTGTATTTGTTACATTCTAAGGACGAAGCCTTAGACAAATTCAAAATATACAAAAACGAGGTGGAATTGCAATTGGAAAATCTGGTTAAATGTCTTAGGACTGATAGGGGAGATGAATATATGGATCCCATATACTTCCAGTCAGTGGGTATTATTCATGATACCACAACACCTTACACACCCCAACAAAATGGTATTATTGAACTCAAAAATTGAGTTTTAAAGGAAATGATAAACTCGATGTTGTCATTCTCGGGATTGAGTGATGGATTCTGGGGAGAGGCCATGTTAACGGCCTGCTATTTATTAAATAGGGTTCCAAATAAAAGGAACAAAATAGTCCCATATGAACTTTGGTTCAAGAAAAAGCCGAATCTGAGTTATTTTCGGGTTTGGGGATGTCGGGCAGTTGTAAAACTCACCGAGCCCAAATTTTTTTTTGGGAGAACGTGGAATTGATTGTATATTCATCGGATATGTTGAACATTCCAAGGCATGTAGGTTTTATGTAATAGAACCTAATGATTCGGTTTCTATTAACACCGTTATCGAATCACGAGATGCAATTTTTGATGAGATGCGTTTTTCATTGATTCAAAGGCCTAAGGATCTGACTTTTGGTACTAATAAAGTGCAAAGTTCAGAAATTCAATATGGTGGTAATATGCAAGAACCACAAGAGTTTTGTAGAAGCAAAAGAGGCCAAATTGCAAAAAAATTCGGATCCGACTTCCAACTGTATTTTGGTGGAAGGTTCAAGGGATGAAATTAATCTTGAATACTCTTATTGCTATAGTATTGAAGATGATCCTAATACATATCAAGAGGCCATGGAGTCTCGCAATAGTGCCTTTTGGAAGGAAGCAATTGATGATGAAATGTCATCAGTTCTTGAGAACACCACATGCGTGTTGTCTGATTTGCCTCCAGATTCTAAACCACTTGGTTGCAAATGGATTTCCAAAAAGAAAATTAATGTTAATGGGACTACTGACAAATTCAAAGTCCGGTTAGTCATTCAAGGTTTTAGACAAAAACCCGGTGTTGACTATTTTGATATGTATGCTCCGGTTACACATATTTCTACTATTAGATTGTTGATTACCTTGGCAAGTATCCACAATCTGGTTATTCACCAAATGGATGTGAAAATATCTTTTTTAAATGGTGCTCGTGACAAGGAAGTTTACATGAAACAACCAGAAGGTTTCATTATGCCTAGTAAAGAGCATATGGTTTGTAAACTTGTCAAATCTTTGTATGGGCTGAAACAAGCGCTTAAACAATGGCATAAAAAGTTTGATGAGGTTATTTTGTCTTCTGGTTTCAAGACAAACCAATGTGAAAAATGTGTTTATAGTAGATTTGATGATGCTACTAGAGCTGGAGTAATCATTTGCTTATATGTAGATGATATGCTGATTTTTGGTATCGATCAAAATCAGGCAGATGAAACAAACAAATTGTTATCATCTAAGTTATCCATGAAAGATTTGGGAGAGGCTGGCGTAATTCTTGGAATAATACTAAAAGGATGAACAAAGTTTTGGTAATGACTCAAATTCATTATATTGAGAAAATTCTCAAGCGGTTTAATTTTACCGATTGTTCTCCTGTGAGTACTCCCATGGATCCAAGTGTGAAATTAATGCCAAATAATGGCGTTCCTATTTCACAATTGAAATACTCTAAGGCTATTGGTAGCTTGATGTATGCCATGACAAGTACCAGACTTGATATTGCTTTTGTTGTGGGAAAGTTGAGCAGGTACACTAGTAATCCTAGTGCTCAACATTGGAAAGTAGTGAATAGAGTGTTTAAGTATCTCAAAAGAACCATGGATTATGGTTTAAGTTACTTGGGGAGTCCTTCGGTTTTAGAAGGTCATTTGGATGTAAGTTGGATAACCAACATGGAGGACCATTCCTTAACTTCTGGTTGGGTATTCTTGTTTGGGGGAGGTGTCATTTATTGGGCTTCCAAGAAGCATTCTTGCATTACAAACTCAACAATGGAATCTGAGTTTGTTGCGTTAGCAGCTGCTGGTAAAGAAGCAGAATGGATAAGGAATTTAGTCTATGGGATTCCTTTGTGGTCTAAACCGATATCACCTATTTCTATCCTTTGTGATAGTACAACTGCTTTGGCTAAGGCATACAGCCAGGTTTATAATGGCAAGTCTAGACACCTAGGTGTTAGACATAGTATAATTAGAGAACTAATCATGAACGGTGTGATTTCGGTTGAGTTTGTGAAATTGCAACAAAATTTGGCAGATCACTTGACTAAAGGTCTGACAAGAGACTTAGTGCACACGTTTGTGATCGGGATGGGATTACAGTCCATTTAATTCTGTAATCACGAGACACCCAATTCCCTCCTAATATAATGTTAGGAGTTGAATTCAATGTGGAAAGCTCAAAGTTAAAGATTGGAACACATGAAGTATTCATCCTAGGTATGTGTTCGGTTCTGCAAGTTAGCCAGGTTGAAGTTTAACTTCTTAATAATTCCTTTGATAAATGTATGTGCAGATACATGGAAATGAGTTACCTACGTGATTGTGAAGTGTAGCCGCATTTCAAGAGGTTGTGGACTTGACCTTGATACGATCATGAGAGGATTGGGACACACGGCTTTATAATAGTGTCAAGTTGTATTTTGCTAGAAATTCAATAAATTAGAATGTATTTTACTTTCTGGTATTCAAATGGGTTGATGAGTTTAATTCTTAGAACACCCTGATTCTCGAGTATTTGCAAGTGTATGATACTAAGTGGAAATTCAATCGTTTCGATAATTTCATTATATACTAGTTTGGTTTGTTTTGATAAGGTTATGTTTGTTCAAGGGTTACACTAAAATGGGGGAGGATTGATGGTGATTTTAGTGTCACCATGTCATCTTATGTAATTGGAACTAACATGTGAGCTAAGGGGCTTCATAATTTGTACTCTAATATATGTACGAGTTTGTGTGGAGTGCACGCATGTATAGATCAAATTAGAAGTCGGTTCGACGACAAGTCGGGGGTCCGGGGACAACACTCCTAGGTCCGGGGTTTCCAAAGTGGGCAACGCCCCTTTGACGGGATCTTGGGGCTGCGTCACTAGCGGGTTCCAAGGGGTATATAGGAACATAATGGGAAAAACGAATTCTTGATGGTGATTATGGTAAAACTGACGAAATTCGTCAATTTTGGAAACCCTAAATCCTCATTAAATTCCGGATTTCCTGATTTGCTTCCAAAGCAACCCATGACGGCCAACCCTAAGAGGCAAACCCTAATCTCGTATATTATATAAATGACTCTTCTCATTGAGAAGAGACACACGGTTATTAGCTCTATTTTTCTTCAAACGAACATAGAATCCTCCTAGTAATTTGGCTTACGACTTTTGTGCCTAGATTCGTAAGTGTCATCTTCGATTATCCTAGGCTAAATTTCTTGCAACCCAGGCATAGGGTAGAAATATCAGTTCGGGAAGTGTTCACACGATCCAAGGGGTATCCAGATCTCCCATATAAACCCTAATTCCTCCAACATAGTTTTGTATCAAAAGTTCACAAGGAAGCAATCTTATTATCATGGATTTTTCTTAGCAAACTTATGTATGATATAGTTTTCAAATTGAATCAATTTAATTTGAATTATTCGGTAAATACAAATACAAAGTAAAGCAAATTATGTACAGATAATATAAATACATGGGAAATAGACATTTTTGGTATAACTCTTTAAAAGTGCTTACAATAAGAAAAGCAAACTATAAAAGTATTTACAAAGAGCTTTTTACAAAACATAACTACTCTAAAAGCTCTTGAAGACACTCCCAGTTAGAGTAGTTTTGGAGACTTCTAATTTTTTAGTTTACTTTTCTTCTACAATTTGTTAATTAGAACAAATCAATGTATTAGGTGTTTTTGTCTCTTGAGCTTTGTCCGAGAATCGAGAGAACAATTTCTTGGATTATCTTAAATCCAATTTTGTATAACATCAATGTTGAAATTACAGATTTCGGAAGAAATATTTACACGAACCTATAAAGCTATGGGGTGTGGAGGAGGGGTGCATTGTCGTGTGTTGATGCCAAACTGCAGTACTTGCCATAAATCATTCGGACAAAAGGCCGCGTTTATTTACCACTTAATGCCTCTTAATAAGAGGCACATCATTTTTTTTTTTTTAGAACGGCAAATCTACACTACTCCTAATACGACCTATGTCTCCAATGAGACTTGAACCCTTAACCTCTGGAAGGGAGGACAACATCCGGTACCGCTGGGCTAGAAGCCCTTTGGTTAATAAGAGGCACATCTGAATCTATTCAGAGTGTTTGTTTGCCACTTAATAAATCATCTTAGTTGTAAAAAGACATCTTACCGAATCAGATTTCAAAACCCATTTGAACAAAAAAATAAGAGATGCTTCCTATTTTGTCCATTGGTTCTCTCTCTCGCCTCTCAAGATCTCTGTGCCTTTAGAATCGACTTTCCCCTTCTCCACATCGTCTCTCCCCGGCCTCCACTCCGGTCGTTGCCACCATCCACTAAATCACCTCCGACTAGCGCCATCCTCTAGCCATTCGTCGGCGACACCAGGTAAACTTTTTTGCCCTAACTTTTTCTGATTGGAGAATGAGAAGTCTAATTCAAGCATGGAATACAAGGAACAGGTGATTCGCCATCCACTCCGATCATTAGACTTCTCACAGCACCACCGCCCCCATCGTCGACCTCGCACGCCCACCAAGTTTGTTTTCTTTGATTTTCCTAAAATTTATTGTTGTGAAATCTGTTCTTGAAGTTTAGGAGTTCCTTTGCCTATGATTCCTTCGAGTGTGTAATTTGTGATTTTGGTGTGTGTAATTCATTTTGTTGAAGTTAAATATGTTATGTGAAATCTGTTCTTGAAGTCTTGGTTAGTTGAAGTTATTTAAGCTCAAATAGGTTTTTGAGTTGCTGGATTCAAAAACTTCAAGGCTATGTCCGTTGATGGCTGATTTGGTGACTCCTTGGCTGCTGCTCTGTTATTTGGAATCAATGTAGTTTTGATCAAATTGAGGTGTTTTCTGGTCACCATTTGATGATTTCAGGTATGTATTAACAAGAGTGGTACCAAATGGAAAACAAGATCATGTCAGGAAGAAGATAATTGATTGCTGAAGTTATATATATATGTAGTCTTTTGACTGTTGATCATGTTAACAGGAAGTGGATTGCTCTCCAATCAAGTTTAATAGCTGAAAATTGTTGTCAAAAGTTTGAAACTCGATTGAATGTATGTATGTTTAGCATGTAATTATGTAAATAAATAATTTTTTTCTAGCAATTGATTTTGATTTTGGAATTTTTATAATTAGTGATATCCTATCCTAATAAATAAGTACTTTTATTGACACGTGTCATTCTCTAAGGCTCCTCCAATCGATTTTTCCCGCTCATACTTTTACAAACTGATATACCTATATTGCCCTTTTACTCATTAAACTGCGTTAAATTCGGCCTTGATTTGGTTCTGATTTTCTGCAATCCTTTTTAAATGGAGAATGCATTCTTATCGGTTCTACAACTTCTATATGTTCATTGGTACCCCTGAGTTACAGTCTATCTACCCCGATTTCGCTTTCTTGCTTTTGGAAACCGAATCAATTTTTAAAATTGACAATTCCTTTTATCAAAAAATGTTCTTCTAAAGATGCAAAACCCGTCAAAAGCGAAGCAGTCGACGACAACAATGACAAAATCGTTTCTCAAAATCCACCTTGCATTGCAAATCGTTTTCTCAAAATCCATGTTAAGTGTTCATCAATCCTCATTCCATATACATCTATTTAATGAATTTGTTTATTGTGAATATAAAGTAAAAAGCGTGTGTAGCAAATTGAAAACTCCTCTCGCTTTAGACATCATCGCTATATAGTTTTCAAGGTATGTATTGCCTTATTATTCAATCTTATTTGTCTATTAAATCCCAATGTCACTGTAGTTTATTTGTATATAATTGATTCTTTCAATAAGTATTTAACTTTTGTATGCACATAAAGTGTTCGATGAAATGCACACATAAATTTTTTATTTTTTATTTTTTTTCTTTTTTAAAGTTAAGGGAAGCAGGTATTCCACTCCATAAAGGAATCTATATTCATGTATTAATCTTGATTGCAATTATGATATCTTGGCTTGATAATGTTTGTCATTAGGTTCAATGTGTGTATATCTATGTGTACAGTTGTGTGTGGTTGTGGATGTATGTTTGTGCTTTGGTAACTTTCTTTCTACACCTAATCACACAAATTTATATTTATTTCATTTATACTATGACTGATATGTTAGGAATCTTTATTATTTGTGCCCCTAGATGTTTCTGTTTATACATGAGGAAGAAGAGTACGTTATTGTTGGTTTTGGTTGCAGGCCTCCGCAAGACAAGTAACAAGAGTAGTCTGGTACTTCCAAAATGTTCCTTATTATGACACTTTACTTCGGAAAACTATTCATATAACACTATACTTTTGATTTTTATCTTATTAGGACATTATACATTGATTGTTAAACATAAAATATGTTTCTTAGTAAGCTCCAGTATTAGGTTCTTAATTTCTTATGTTGGATATATATATATATATATATATATATATATATATATATATATATATATATATATATATATTTCTTTTTAAATTTTGCTCGACTTTTGTTTTGTAGTACAGGGTAACATCTAAGGGCTCAAATAATTAGAATGATGGAAAGCACTCTCAAGCCGCATCTAATATGACCCCAATTGAAGCTCAAGGACGATTTTGAAACGGTTGAAGAAGATCAGGTTAGTGGTCATTTTCAAATTTTGTCAAACTCCAACAACCAAGACTACTGCTTGTAGGGGAAAGACTATTGATGTGTCCAAGAAGCAATAAGTTTATATTTGTTTTTGTGAACACCTTAAAATTGTTATTTGCATCAGGTTTAGAAAATTATGGCCAAGTTATTTTATGGTTGTACTTTTTCGGATGTAGAAAAGTTTTTTTTTACATTAAAAAGTGATGTAGCTTTTGCTTTATGGAGCCATATGGGTATTGTGGAAAGAACAATTCATTATAGACTTCACTCTTTATAACTCTATTTTTATGATTTTAGGTACCAAAGTAAAAGGGATAAAGGTAGAGAGGCCAACTACCAACTGTAAATTTTATAAGCTTAGATATGAGTAAATTAACAAGTCAAAATATGATATTATTAATGTTTGACCTGCCCTATTGTTCTTACTAAACTTTATGAATAAAGGATATGTAAATATAATTATAAAGGCTATATAGTTTGGTTGTATAAAAAAAAGAGAATAATCCGGTTAATATTTCTTTTTGCCAAATTATTTAACTTAGTTATGAATATGTTTAATGCTTATAGTGAAATTACTATTCAAGAATGAACTTTGTGTATTGTTGCGTACTTCTCGATGGAAAAAAAATCTAACCACATTTATTATTAAAAATTGGGCTAATGGCACAAAAACCCTCAAATTTGCACAAAATTGACGGATTTGCCCAAAGTTCAAATTTAGGTCCATTTTTGCCTTAAACTTGCATTTAATGTGTCGTTTTTGCCAAGTAGCCGGTTTCACTTTAATCAACCGGTTACCACTTGCTTAGGTGGAAGGCTAATTAACGTCGTTTGGAAAAATCTCCAATTCCGTTACATACGTTAAACTGTCGCATCTCATCTCCCTCTATAACCCGATCACTCATCACCTTTTCCCATTTCATCGACTGTGTACACAGAGAAAAAAAAGGGTTTTCTTGGAGACGATTAGGTTAAAAGTGTTCTTCAACATTTATTCGAAAGGTAAGGTTTTTACAGGTTGACTGAAATTACGTTTACATTTAACATTTCTTGAAATGTGTTCCTAAAGTTAGTGTGTTGATGCAGGAAGGTGTAATGGCTTCATCAGACGATGGGTACGCTGACCCCTTTGCTGGCATACATGAGCCATTTGCTGGCTTGAGTGAAATGGATTTTGAACTCCACGGTATTTACATGGACCACGAACCAGAGGAAGAATTTGTGTCCTCACTTGATAAATGTAAGGATATATTCCTAAATGTTCTATTAAGTGATGAAAACCTATGAAATTCTAGTATGGCAGATGAAATCAGAGCACAAGTGTACCATGCTACCGATTGGCAGAGTGATGAAGATGAACAGGAGGTATTGAAAAACAACTATAGAATTCATGACCCAACCATCAAGTGGGACAAGATGGTACCAAAGCTTGGTGACATCTTTGAATCCCCTACCTAACTGAAGTTTTGTGTCACCAATTATGCAGTCTCACATGGCTATAGAATATACTTTGAAAAATGTGATAGTAAAAGAATTGTAGCTAGATGTGGCAATAGGAAGGAAGAGAATAAATGCTCTTTCAGAATTTATGCTGCATGGATGTACAAAGAAAGATCTTTTCAGATCAAAGCTATGAATGGTGACCATAAATGTTCTAGGCAGTTTAAGTTTGGATCCATTGTGTCCCCTGAATGGATTGGAAGACATTATGTGACTGAAATTGCAAATAAGCCAAAGATGAAACTTCAGGAAATGATTGATGACATCAGACAAAGGTATAGGTGTGTGGTATCTATATGATAGGTTAGAAGGGCAAGGAAATGGGCCAAAAATTTAATAGAAGGTAAACTCACTGAGCATTATGCAAGGATATGGGATTATGCCCATGAATTGTTAAGGTCAAACCCGGGGTCCACATGTCAAGTTGGTGTAACAACCAATCCAGATGGAAAGAATTATTTTCACAGGTTTTACATTTGTTTCAAAGCACTAAGTGTTAGCTGGAAAAGAGAATGTAGGAGAGTAATTGGGCTTGATGGGTGCTTTCTAAAGGGGCAGGTGAAGGGTGAATTGCTAACAGCCATTGGTAGAGATGCCAACAACCGGGTTTATCCAATTGCTTGGGCTGTTGTTGATGTGGAAAATAAGTCCAACTGGACTTGGTTCCTTGAGCTACTCAGTGGTGATCTAGACCTTATTGATGGAAGGGGCTTGGTAGTTATATCAGATCAACATAAAGTAAGTTTCTTTATAACATATTAATCCTTTTCAAATTACTTATAAATACTTACATGTATGCTGGTTTTTGTATTAGGTTTGTTGCAATCTGTTAAAGATATATTGCCACATGTGGAGCACAGGCAATGTGCCCGACACATATATGCAAATTTTAGAAAAGCTTACACTGGGTTGGAGTTCAAGAAGCTGTTTTGGGCTGCAGCTATGAGCTGTGTGGAAGGTGATTTCAAGAGACATATGGACAAAATTAAAAAGCTCAATCCTGGTGCATATGATCATCTAATGTCCAAAGAACCCGAAACATGGTGTAGAGCTTACATGAGTACAGGGTATGCATGTGAGGCAGTGGAGAATGGTATATCAGAGTGCTTCAACTCCATCATTGTGGATGCTAGGAAAAAACCATTGATCACAATGCTTGAAGAAATAAGGATATACATTATGGATAGGTTTGCTCACATGATTGAGGAAAGCACTAAATGGAATACCCGTATATGTCCAGCAGTGTTAAAGAAGATGAAGCTTTTTGGGAAGAACATGAGGTAACACTTTAACATGTAACTTTTCTTTTAATTTCATTAGGTAACACTTTAACATGTAACTTGTGGATGCAGGTTTTGGTTAATAATTCATAGTCAACAACATGTGTTTGAAGCAAGGAGAGGATGTGATAGCTACATGGTGGATTTAGATGGAAGGCATTGTACCTGCAGGTTATGGGATCTGGCTAGGATCCCATGTGTTCATGCCATTGCAACTATCAACTATATCCATCAAACACCTGATGAGTATATTGATGACATGTTTTCCAAGGAACAATTCCTTAAGTGTTACTCTGCTAACATTAGTCCAGTAAATGGTTCAAATCTATGGCCTCAAACTGAATTCATAAAGCCATTGCCACCAGTGTCAAAGAGAATGCCTGGTAGGCCAAAGGTCAATAGAAGGAGACATGTAACTGGAAATGATGGAAGAGTACACACCCCAAGAACTGTAAGGTGTGGTAAGTGCTTTGAGTATGGCCATAACCAGAAGGGATGCAAGAATGCAACCAGGGAACCTGTCCCTATGCCACCAAAGAAGAAAGGAAGGCCAAGGAAGGAACAATGTGAACCCAGTCAAGCAGCATGTGATAGGTCTGAGAGGCAGGAACTTGTCCCTATGCCACCAAAGAAGAAAGGAAGGCCTAGGAAGGAACAATTTGAACCCAGTCAAGCATCATATGATAGGTCTGAGAGGCAGGAAGCAGTTCCTATGCCACCAAAGAAGAAAGGAAGGCCAAGGAAAAAGGTCCAATCTGACCCAAATCAAGCATCAGGTTCTAAATCTGTTAAAAGCAAAAAGAAGTTGGGGATAAAAAAAGGTGGTGGCATTGTGGAAGATAGAGTTCTACTTGATGAACATGATGGTTTAGATGGTCATGTTGAAGGTAGGGGATGTGAGGAACAAGTGAAAGATTTGTTTGACAAAGAAGATATTGATGATGACAGTTTGGTTGATATGATGTGCACTTTTGAAGCTTCTCTTAGCCAATCAAAGGATAATTATCAGAAAGGTGATGGATTCCAAGATGCAATGGATGCTATTATTCAAAGTATTCTTCATGCTAATGATGACAGAGGTGTTGAGGATGTTGAACCTGACCTGACAAAAACACTTGATGAGGTTGAAGATGCAATGGATGCTATTCTTAAAGGTATTGATCAAAAAAGTCAATCTGAGAATGAGGATAATCCTGAACCTGAATTCACTGAAGGAAATGCAAGTGATGTTCTCCCAGAGATGGTGATGCTAGATCTAGAAAGTGTAGCAGACCTACTTGGGGCAGGATATAGCATGGCTGAAATAGAGAGCTTGAGAGGGTTCAAAGTTGAATTGGATGATATGCCAACAGTTGAGATGGTTAGTTTGACATCATCATTTTATAATTGCTAACATTAGTAACAAACATGTTTATATATTTTATTAATAAGTATTCTTCAAATTTTAATTAACAGGATGTGAATGAAGTTGAGGATATTCCATATGTTGATGGTGTGATGGAAGGTAATGAAGATGATGGTCTTATAAATGAGGGTGTGGAGGAAAATGAGGGTGATGGTGAGGGTGATGATGCTGATGAAGTAGCAGGTGAGGGTGATGGTGATGGTGCTGGTGAGGGTGATGGAGAGGGTGATGGTGCTGGTGAGGATGATGGAGAGGGTGATGGTGATATTGAGGATGAAGGTGATGGTGCTGGTGAGGATGGTGCAGCAGATATGGAGGGAAATGATGCTGATGATGAAGGGCATGTACCACCTAGAAGGACAAGAAAGCCCTCAGAAAGGGTCATCCTGCAAAAGCTAAAGAAACCTTGTTTTGACAAAGATGGAAGGGGTTCCACATCTAGCTATCCAGTAGATTTGGAGTAGTTACCTAGGTATATGGGGGCAAAAGTGGGGATGGTATCATTGGGCAATTGTATAGGTAGCCCTTTTTGGTTATTTTTTGATATACACCCACTACTTGCAGCATACATCCATTTGTTTAGTGTTACATTATGGCTTGCCTTTTTTGGGTGATTTTTAGGCTTTTGGGTTCATGTTTTGGTATACAAAATGGATGGCTGCTACATGCTAGTAAAACTTATGTAATGGATGCTTTATATTAAGGTTTATAATGGATGCCCCCTATTATGGTAACCATGATGTTTTTATTTTATTTTCTAGTACATGTTAAGCATTAACAATGTACTTTCATTAGTGCAATTCCTTTTATGCAAGTTAGTATAATTCCATTCATGCAAAGTTTACTTTCATTGTGAATGTAACCGAGGGTATTTTAGTACAATTCCATTCATGCAATGTACTTTCATTGTGCAATTCCATTCATGCAATTCCATTAGTGCAATTCCATTCATGCAATGTACTTTCATTCATGTAATTCCATTAATACAATTAGTGCAATTCCATTCATGCAATTCCATTAATACCATTAGTGCAACATTCAGCCGTATGCAAAGTGAGATAGCAATTAACTACCATTAATAACATTACCATAAATACCCTTAATACATTAGTGCAATTCCATTCATGCAAAGTTTACTTTCATTGTGAATGTAACCAAGGGTATTTTAGTACAATTCCTTTTATGCAATGTACTTTCATTGTACTTCCATTCATGCAACATATACATGAGATAGCAATTAACTACCATTAGTAACATTACCATTAATACCCTTAATACATTACAAACATGTAACATTCAGCCGTTCAAAAAAAACATTACAAAGATGTAACAATTCTTGATTATGCTTAATATATTACTAATACAGGAAAAACCAACAAAACTATATCTTAATAACCACTATTCCTAGCATCAGCGATATAACCACTAACAACCCTATGATCACTTCTAACAATGGCTTGATCTCCTCTGTATGACACATCTCCATATTTTGACCTAGTTCTTCATCCGCCCATTTGAAAAAACCACAGTTGCCTCCTTCTACCTACAACAAAAAAAAAAATTAGGATTCTATTACATACGTTCCTCTTTGGGAAGTTAGAGCAGCCCTAAAATTTTAGGGAGAAATTAGTACAAAAATAAATAGATTTTTACCTGATAATTAGGGCAGCCCCAAAATTTTCGTCCTGGGTTATCAGGTGTTCGTGAGACTGATACACCACAAACATCACCACAGTCGCATCTTATTACCTTCTTGTTCCTCATTCTTGTACCACCATTAAAGCTTGATCTTGAAGACAAAGTTGTCATTTTTCCGTTGTAGTCTGTAACTAACTGTGGGGGTCAAAGGGATCAATTGCACACGAGGATGTCTGTGAATGAGTTATTAAATGATAAATGCCAAGTATCTTCAAGTGGTAACCGATTGATTAAAGGGAAACCAGCTACTTGGCAAAAACGACACATTAAATGCAAGTTTAAGGCAAAAATGGACCTAAATTTGAACTTTGGGCAAATCCGTCAATTTTATGCAAATTTGAGGGTTTTTGTGCCATTAGCCCTTAAAAATTTTGTGGTTAAAGTGTAGTACACAATCATAAACTAACAAAACATTACATTACCATACTATTTAATTTTAAGCAAAACAATGTTGTTTCGTGGTTGATTATCTATGTTTTTTTCCTCAATTTTCTCAACTTTGTATTTTATTATACAACATAATCATTTTATTATTAATCTAGACAAAACGAACATTGCTCATATCTTCAAAACATATTTCAAAATTAATTTAAATTAACAATTATAACTGTTTGCAAATGTCTTATTAATTATAATGTCTACTGGTGGTTCGAATTTATATTGCATTATACAAAATCATGATTTTATCAAATATTTACGGATACAAAGTGTCGATCGGATATTCCAACCGGTGTATATATTAAATCTAACTAATTATAAAAAACTTAAACACAAAACATCTACTTTTGTAAATTAATAAAATTTTACAAATAATTAATTAGTCATTACGATTTAAAATTATCGTTAGTGTTTTCTATTTTTCACCCGTGGTTTCCACGGGTATTAACCTAGTACTTAAATAAAAAATAGCAAAACCTCCTAAGTGTCTGATTGTAGAACCCATGTATGAAAAACAGATCAAAATCGGTCATTGCCAATCCTCCTCGTGGTAACCAAAGTGGATTAAGATGACTATCAAATCGACAATTAACGATCCATCGCAAATTCTTACACAAGAATCGTTCTGCCATCAGCAATTTTGTGAAGAATTGGTCTACTAACAGTCATATGGAGATCATCTTTCATGCTCTTGAGTAGTAGGAAATAGATACTTCTTCCTCCTAGGTTAGATTTGGAAAACCCATTTTTGGGTGTGCTTAAAAGACGATGTATATGTACATGATATGAGTTTGTTACATACAAGAAGATGATGAAATTAATCATACAAAAGGACCAGTCCTAAGAACTTTCTCTAACTTCTGTGCCCTAGCATAATCACTTTCCGTTAGCGGGCCAGCAGGAAAAGGAGTAATCTCCACAACCAAATGTGGTGTCGGAAGTTCATCAAACAAAGCCCTCACGTTGTTGCAGCATACGGTTTCTCCATGAGCACTCTCCCTTCTAATTTGACAACCCTAAAATCAATCGTACAATTTTCAGATCAAATTCACAAAAGGAAGATGAACGAAATGGTATTACCTACCTTGTGGGAGGTGGCATCTCGGAAGTGATCGTCATCTGAAAGCAAGGATGCGATGGCTTTGAGAAGACGACGCCCTTCGGCCTTTGAAGGGATCCTGTAGTTTCGCCTAAGGGTACCCTTGGTTGTAGGGTGCCATTTGCTTACTAGTTTCCTTTGATCTGCTGCTTCTCTTTCTGCTCATAGAAAACACGATTTAGCGATACTTCATCTTTTTACAAAACAAAACCTGGATTTATTTAATGAACAAGTCCAACATTTTGTTTGTATTCTTTAAAATTGAAAAAGTAAATCACTCACCCGGTTTGCCTCGGAACTCTTCAAACCACTTAGCGAAACCCAAATCGTCACCATCACTTTCAAGTTCTATAAATCATCAATCAATCAAGGATCAAACAAAATCACCAACAAATCGACAGCAAAATATATATATATTTTTTAATTTTTTATTTATAGATTTACAGTAAAGAAGATAAAAAACCTGTGGTGGAGGCGAGTGGATTAGAAGGGGATCCAGCCAAACCAGCCTTCAATAGGACATAGAATATACACACTCTTCCAGCCCATAGAACAGGTGCCTCAATCAATGAGCTTTTGATGCTTGATCTTCTTCCAGTCCCAGTTGTTGAGTCAGATATAAATCTCCAATTTGATGAAAACCCCTTGATTTTTCTACCAAAAATAGGAAATAGGGTTTTGGGCAAAACTGGAGTATTGATGGTGTGATGATGATGATTTATGGTGGTGAAGATGTGTGTACAAGTTGGAGTGTTTAGAAGCATTTTCTTGGAAAATTTGAGAGGAATCTTGATTTGAACCGAGGATGAAAACAGATTCACTGATACCCTTGGTTGTATGCAGTGAGCTTATGATTTTAGAGCAAAGTATAAGCTGCCTTTGGGTTGCCTTCTATTTCTAAAATATGTCACACTTGCCCTTTGACTTTTTCCATTTTAGTTATGACGTACTTAACTTTTGTGTTGTTTATACTTTATATACAATGATTGTGACATTTTTATGAGGAATTAGTTTTATATAACGGTAAAATAAACCTTTAGGCCAAAAAAAGAATAGAAAAGATTGCGTGGTTAAATTTCGTTTCTAAAATATAGGGGGTGCAGTTGTTCATTTATTAAAGTTTATGGGGGCCTAGTATCAAACCGTGTATATTGGTGTGTACTATCATAGTTTGTTATCCTCAGACAATAATGGTGAAGTAGATATTTACGACGTCGTTGCTTGAATGATCTTATCCATTTAGCTGGTCAATCCCTCGTCATGATAGGCCACATCCATATTTAAAATTTGTTATTTGATTAACAGTATAATTTATTGAACTAAACAGAAAAAACTATGTATCTTTTTGCATATATGCACAGATGTGTACAAAAATCGGAGTTAAAAACAAATGATCTTTTGTGGAAAAAAACTTTTCCCCAAATCAAATAATTGTTGGTTAGTCACTATGTGGAGTACGAGGTGGTTAATGTTAATGTTATATATGTATGTATGTATATGAGTATGGGGTGTTCGGCAAGATTAGTTGGTAGCGGGTAGCTTGTAGCTTGTACTTTGTAGCGTTTTGTTAAACGTTAGTAACATTTGAATTTGAAGCGTTTTGTTTAAACTAAACGCTAGAAGTTTGTAGTGTCGAACAAGACTTTCTGTTCAAAACGGAGCATTTTGTCAAACGCTAGAAACTCTCAAACGCTCTGCGCCGAACACGTCCTATATCTTCCATCATTGTTTTGTAGGGATAATGACTTGAAAGGGTAATATATTTTTCGATTTGTACACATTTGGTCACTGAGTTTTTTTTCGTCCACATTTACCCCTTCAACTTGTTAAACTGTATACATTCAGTCCTTATGACCGGCTACTCCAGGTTACCCGGTAAAAATGACTTAATAGGGTAATATATTTCTCACTTTGTACACATTTAGTCCTTAATATTTTTGTACACATTTAGTCTTTTTTTTTTTTTTTGCAAAATAAGTCATTTTTTTTGTACTTATTCAGTACTTATGAATGATTTTTTAGTTTTTTCTCACGAAATCTTACGTGAGACATTAATTAATGAGGTGTATGGGGCTTTTGATGCTTATATCCATCGCGATCTCGACTACTTGGTTGCTTAGGTCATGTGTTCTGAACGTCATAACTTCTTCATATGATCTCGGATTTTAACGATTTTTATATCCATGCGTTCGTATTTTAGTCTACTACAACTTTCATTTAGATTACTCCCATTAAAAAATAATATATTTTTTTCTTACGATTTTTATATCCATACGCGGTGGTGGATTTAGTATGGTCCCGGTGTTGCACCGACAACACCTGTTTTTTCTGTTCGCAATAGATAAAGATCCTTAAAATATGATATTGTATGAAGAAGTTACGATGTTCAAAATACAAGACCTAAGCCAAACCACAAGACTTACGCAACCAAGCAGTCGAGATCGCATTGGACATAAGCATCAACAACCCCAAACACCTCATCAATGATTGTCTCACGTAAGATGTCGTGAAAAAACCTAAATAAATCATTCATAAGTACTGAATGAGTACAAAAAAAGGACTTATTTTGAAACAAAAAAAATGTTAAGGACTAAATATGTACAAAAATATTAAGGACTAAATGTGTACAAAATGAAAAATATATTACCCTATCAAGTCATTTTTCCCGGCTAACCTGAAGTAACAGGGTCATAAGGACTGAATGTGTACAGTTTAACAAGTTTAAGGGGTAAATGTTGACGAAAAAAAAACTCAGTGACCAAATGTGTACGGATCGAATAATATGTTACCCTTTTAAGTCATTATCCCTTGTTTTGTATCCAAGTTTTATTGTTGTATTACTATAATATTACTTATTAATAAAAAGATATTTTTAAGGCAAATAATATTTGTCATGGTATAGAGAGTTTTTTGAACAAATAATATCTTCGATTATTTCTAAATATTTTCTTTTTCTTCTCTTCTAAATCTAACCGCCGTCTAATTCCTCCTATGTTGTGGATCACCTTCTTTCTCGTCGGTGGTTTTGTCAATACATAAAAAAAATAAATAAATAAATAAAAGAACCCAAATATATTACGAACATCAAAACGTGTATACTTGACATGAGGGTTATTTTGAATCACATTATACCGGCTATGGCACAGCCGACCATGTTCAATTTGAAGTCTTCTAATTTTAAGAATTAGAAAAAAAAAAATCTTTACACTTTAAAAATCGTGATATTTTATTTGCAGAAAATCTCAGTATATAAAAAAAATTAGGACAAGATTGTCTCAAATAAAATCCTAAAAATTTCATAATCAATACAGATACATAAATTACAGCGTAAAGACCTAGGTTGTGTTTGGTGTGTCACAACTAGCTTATTTTTCGATCTTTTTAAAGTTGTCATGTTTGGCAAACCAAAAAGAGACTTATAAGCTAGCTTTTTAAAAAGCTGTTTGGACTAGCTTTTTATGAGCTTTTTTAAAAAATTTCAAATATATCCCTTAATTAATTATGAAAATACATTTTTTTAAATGTCCTTTTATATTATTTTATATCTTTCAGCTAGCTTTTCAGCTAGTTTTACCAAAACATTAATTTTTATCAGCTAGCTTTTCAGCTATCAATTGGCTTTTTATTTAACAGCTAGTTTTTCAGCTAGTAAGTCAAACATAGCCCTAATGGTACTGAACACCATTGTAGGCTTTCTCTTAATCACTCAACATTTTAATCAAGTTCCAGTTGCTTAAATCTTGACACATATGATGCATCAAAGCTGAGTGGGTCAGGTTGGAAAATCGGATAAGATACATAGGTTGCGTTTAGTTATGGAAAAACATTTTTCGTTTTTCGTTTTCCCCTTTCAGTTTTCGTTTTCAGTTTCCAGTTTTCATTTGAAAAATTAGAAAACGCGTTTAGTTAAAACTTATTCATTTTTCATTTTTAGTTTTACAAAATTAGAAAACGTTTTTAGATGTGTACTTTTCTATCAGTTTTCATTTTTAGAAAACGGTAGCGGTGGTAGGGTGGGGTGGGGGTGGCTGCGGTGGTGGTGGTGGCGGCAGCAGCAGCAGGGTGACATCGGTGGTGGTGATGACAGGCGGTGGTGGTGGCGGCGGCAATTGTGGCAGTAGTGGTGATGGTAGGTCAGTGATTGTGGTAGCGGTGTTGGGTAGGTGGGTGTGTGTGGGTGTAGGTGTTTGTTTGTGGGAGTGGGTGTGGGTGTGTGGGTGGGTGGGGGGTGGGGTGGGCTTGGGAGTGGGTAGGTATGGGTAGGTAGGGGTGTGGTGGGTTGGGGTAGGTAGAGGTGGGTGGGTGAAAGTCATAAAGGCATTCGAGCCATTAGAGTATTGGATGAATATGGTATCCCATTTCATATACTTCTGTGGGTTATGAACCCACACTAGCAATGTAACTCACAAGACCATCTAGAATGATCAAGTGTTGCCATCTTACTCTGGGAGATCACCACGCATACCATTACAGTTGCCTGATTTGGACCCACCATTTCTGTTCATCCAAAAAAGAATACGATTTGTACTCTAATACGTATTTTCGTACCATCAACACCTGAAAGTGTCAAGGAACAGAACTTTATTCTATGTTACTAACTTACACAAACACACACACACACACGTATATATATATATATATATATATATATATATATATGTGTGTGTGTGTGTGTGTATACCCGATATCAAACTTAATTGAACTAGGTATCTATATGTGACATCCCTAATTTCACGGCCAGAAAAGACCGATTTAGTTTATGCTTTTTATAATAAAATCAGAGTAATTTTCCAAAAGATGTTGCGGAATTTGTTCCCAGAAAAATATGATAAATACGTTATCAAAGCATTTCCGAAGAAATGTATTTTTATTCATATTAAAACATTTGGGATGTCATCGTCGATATAGACCAAAAGCATAAACAGAACTTACATTCATTTACACTAGTGATTTACATCTCCTTCAATCTCTCAGTGTAAAGCAGCTTCATATCGATACCTGTGATACAAATAAACTGAGTGGGTCAGGCTTGGGAGCCTGGTGAGCATATAGGGTTTTCAAACCACAATAAATAAATTTATTATGTTTAAACATCAATCAATCAACCCAATTTCTCATCCCCATTATCTTCTTTATTCTTAAGGATCTACCCTAAGAATCATCTTATCATTCATTCTTAAGGATTCATCCTAAGGAATAGGCACGAAGTCACATCGTCGCAAGGTTTATACAACAGACACTATGTCCATAGCTGCCAGGGTTTTTACAACATGTGCTAAATCCATAGCTCTCATTTATCGACAGTATTATTCACAGGAATTCACCTACAATACATGTCAATGGGGTTTTAGAGTATATCTGATGAACATATAGTTCACACACCTATAGGTTGCGAACCTGCCAGTGTTCCATGGACCGTCTAGAATAGTCCATGGTTGTCATCCATACTCTGCTAGATGACGGGGCCATCGCTTGGGTCATCGTTTGGGTCATTGCTTCTCACCATAATTTACCACTCATATATCATCACTCATGTTTCATCGCTCATCATTTATCTCATCATTTTATCACACATCAACTTATTTCACCTACCCATGTTATACCCAACATATTTGTAGATAAAATATATATACATTTTAAATCATTTTGAACATGTATAAAACATTCTTTCATCAACCCATGTTTTACCCAACATATTTGTAGATATAAAATACATATACAGTTTAAAACCTGTATAAAACAATCATTCAACATCTATCCCAAATAAACAAACAACATATATACACGTAGCACGTATTTTATATAAAATACTTCATATCTATGTGTAAGGTGAAAGTGACTATACACTCACTTGATTTAATGATAATCGGGCAACACTTCATTTC